TATGTATATATAAAATAAAAATAGGACTGCTACCGCTGGGTTAGCAGACGCCATTTTAAACCACACAACCGTGACTTTTGTTTTCTCCTGCTTCTCATTTTTCATAAACTCCTATGCACTACTACTGTCCCTTTCTGAACCAATAACGATCACGTCACAGACACACGTTTATAATACACGAGTACATTTCTTTTCAAAATATTACGTCAAACTACGTTAACACTTTGTCTTCGTCGCAGAATATACTTTGCAAAATACATCACATCATTTTTTCTCTTTTTTTTTCTCTTTTCACCCTTGAATCCGCTTCCCTTCTTTAAACCCAAGACAAAAGAGCGCTGTGAATGAATGCAGTTGACGACAAAGAGTTCAGCCATATCAATCGTTGGCATCTGATTCTGCAGTGGCGCTCAAGTGCTGTATTTTTTCTACAAAAAAATAAATAAATAAATAAATAAGCTTAGTTTTTTATTTTCAATACTTTTTGCTTTCAAAATATCGCGTTCATTTCAAACATATTCTGCATAAATGTTGCAAGAAAAAAAAAAAGAGAAAAATAACTTTTTTATTTTTTCTTTGGGATATACCAATCAATGGGTTTTCTGAAGAAAGAACTACGTGCCGTATTTACACACAGACACATAAACGCAGCGAAAAGCAATATCAGAATCTAACGTAAAAAAGCAGACCAAAGACCAATCTCCGTAACGAACAGCTCTGTTCAGTAGTAGTGCTACTAATGCCAATACCAATGCTGCTATCACGAGTGGCGCTCAATAAGCAACATTGTATTCTACACATAAACACAAACACACGAGCAACCTACCTTCTTCACAATCGATTTTCAACAGCCTGAAGTTGACGACCTTTGTGTCGTTACCATTAACCGTACAACTAACTAACCAACAAATTAACTAGCTAACTAGTTAGTCAACTAGTTAGTAGACTGACTAATTAACAGAGGAGCTGGCTTATGAACCACACCTATTTCTGTAAGTAACATAATTTCTTAACCATCTGTTCGCTTCTTTTTTCTTCGTCTTCTGTCACCCTAAACCGGTGCAAGTTATCCTAAAAGTAACAGCAACAACAACAACTTGAAATTCCCGACTTCCGCACAATAATTAAAACAGTTATTGTTGCCGTAATCAAAGTCCCAAAAACGGTTACAGTGATTTTTATAAAAATTCTGTAGATTAAAAAATTGTAAAAAAAGAAAACAGGCAACAAAAAACTATTCATAACAACAGAGAAAGATAAATCTCCGTTAACATTTTAACAATTACAACTCTTTCTCCCTTCATTCCTTTCTTTTTTCTCAGCCTACGAGGCAACAATACCGTACAAACGGTTACAATCAAAAAAAAGAATAACAAAAAAGATTCATTACAAGAGCGATCAACGAACGGTGCATAATTCTTCACTGTCGCCTTCTAAAAAACTAAAGAAAAAAAGAAAAAGAAAAAAAACAAAACAAAGCAAAAAATAAGGAAGCAAATATAAATTCTCCCGGAGTGGAAGGAAAAGTGATGTGAAAGTAAACGTGACAAGGGAGTAGCAAACGAACATACTGCTCATTAAAAAGCTCATTTTTCTTTTCGTTATTGTTCCTTCCACTGTTGATTACAGCTTTACGCAACAAAAAATAATCATCATATATCAGAAACAGTTCTTATTTCCTTTTTGGCTAAATCCCAAACCTCTGCCCTTCTTCTTAACCGCCACTCGTATATTAGGTCCTTTTTTTTGTCGTTAATAAAAAATTACTTTCATGTACATTCAATTTTAACCTTCAACTCTTCTTTTTTCACTCTCTACACATCCCATTATTTCAACTATCTTTTTCTAACTCTAAATATCTCTACCGTGACACAGGACAATAACTTTTCAACAAATAAAATTTCAACCAACTCACCTCTTCTGTTCCTTTTTTCCACCTTCCAAATTAAAACTTTCAAAGAACACGTGACGCAATTGCTGCAGTAGAATTTCCAAAACAGAAAATTGAAAATATACTTTAATTCAGCTGGAAAAAAAGGGCTTTTCTTTTTTTAAATAAAGTTTTGCTCTTACTCCAGAAAACGGCAGTTTACTATAACTTGTTTGACCAATATCAGACAACAGACGGGTTCAGAACATTTCTTTCACTGATAGCACAGCAAACACGTCTGGCTTACAAACTTAAAACTCCGAAATATAACGTGCTTCTCTACTCCTCAATTCCTCCCAATTTTTTAAAGCAAACTTTACGAGCCTTTTTTCAAATTGTTTATTTCACTTCCCTGAAGCTGCCGAAATTCAAGTTGAATAATACTGGTAAAATGGCAAAGAAAGTCAAAATGGAGACAACAGTATCGTGTACTAATATAAACAACAACTTTGTCTTCCAATTGCCTTTCAATCCCGTTCTCACTTTGCCTTGACAATAACAAATGTGTCCTTCAGCAATCCGCCTATAATACAAAACTTTCGAGTTCTTTTACTGCGCAAAATTTTTTTCGGCTTAGGGGAATTAAAAAAAGAACCTAAACTTCCTGTGCACCAAATGCTATGATGGAGAATGTAAAAATAGAAAATAACTTGTAATATGCTTTAATTAAATTAGCATAAAATCGCTTTAATATTCGTTTCGGCAAACATCCAATACTGAAACTGAAGAGAAAGTACTTTCAAAAAGCAATAACAAATAAGTGAACATACAAAAAAATAACAATTTGCTCGGCGCAAATATACTTGAAAAACCAAAATAACAGAGCATCGTTCATTTTACTGGAAATGCAGCTTACTCACAAGTTGCACGACATCCCTCTAATCTCACTTAAAAATATTTCCCCGTCAATTAAGCAAAAGAAATGCATTCTGACCCTCCAAGCAATCAAAAGGGTACGTGGTAACTACTACTATTACTTCTCAGTTTTCTTGAACATTCCAAGCTCCATGCAGCAGAGAAACAGCCCTACTCTTTACCGTCCATGACTTTCTGTGAAAAAGACTACTTCCTAGCACGTTAACAAGCAGAACGAAAAAGTTGCACTTGGCAGTTCAACTGCCGAGTCGAAAAAAAGTACTATAACATGAAAAGGCTTAACCTCCCTGAAGTAATGAGAAAACAGCAAAATTTTTTGAACGAATACACTTTGGAACTCTGCCACAGCTTGAACCTTTTCGATCCATAAATCTTGACCGGGATGAGAACAAAACACTCAGTACAATGTTACATATGTACAGTGTCTGCAGCTACTGAGTAAAACTCTTCAGAAATCACTCGACCTCGTAACAACCCCCTCCTCATTCATCCACAAAAATTTCCACCAACTACAAGAAGAGTCCTTCACCTTCCTTTCTCCACCTCTTCTCGGCTCTTAAAATTGTAAAACCTCCAAATTAAAAAGGTGTATGCAGCTAGGATAACTCCGTATTACAACTGCAGCACTTAAAAAACCAGGACTTTAAAACCAGAATTATTACGGAACACGAGAGATCAACTCAACCTACACATTCTCAACGCTCAACTGTTTGCGCTCACCCAGCTCACGACAAACCAACCCTGCAAAATGCATTTCCCTGAACTTTTCCTATAAAGCAAGAACTAGTCATGACAACTCTACAGTCACCAATAAACATGCTTTATAAACTGTTAATATAATGTATAATTAAAATAATTATCGAAGTAAGAGTGGTAATCCATTCTCACCATCGCGTATAACAGAACTGTAACTCCTACACAAGTTGTGTGGCACTAAAGAAAAGGCAAATTCTTGAAAAGAACTTTGCACGGGCTAATCAGACTTTAACCCTGTCCCCTCGAGCAAAAACCAGAAAGGAACCAAAAATTATATAACTGATAACTGGTAGGAAAGAAAGACAGAAAGCACCGTCAAAACTAACCCTTATTTTTGCTACTCTAAACTACGTCACCCTACTAGCTACAAAGACCATGGGAGAGAAAACATTATAAACCAAATGCTGCAAAAAAATATAGCACAAAAGGTAGTTAAATATAAAACACGGACTACGAAAACGACGTGTGTTTTAACTCCACAGAACTAGAAACTCGAGAGAAACTGTAAAAGTCTAAAACTTTTATTCACATAACCAAACGTATTCAACGTGCACAAAAACAAGAACAATATTAATAAAACTTCTGAACAAACATTCAATGAAGCAGCCAACTTCTGGCCAGCGAGAAATAAACACTTGAAAGCGAATGATAAAACAAATCAAACTTGGTAAAGATCAATAATTTCAGAACTATACCCCTTGTTAATGTCATCAGTAAAAAACAAGGATTAGCTGACGTTAAACAGTTGACATGGATAGGAAAATTAGAACTTGGAAATGAAAAAGGCAACATATAAAAGCACAAGTTCGCGGAATTAGATGAATCTGAGGAGTGGTTACATAAGACAAGATGA